GTGTCCAGTGAGACAGGCAGCCAGGAGACACACAGCATCCTGAGAGACTATGTGTCCAGTGAGACAGGCGGCCAAGAGACACACAGCATCCTGAGAGACTATGTGTCCAGTGAGACAGGCGGCCAAGAGACACACAGCATCCTGAGAGACACCAGTGTCCAGCAACACACACAGCTGGACAACACAGCAAGCCAATGGCTCAGTATGGGGGCTGCCCATCATGCTGCTGCTGAATGCGAAGGAACCCTTTGGCTCTACAGCCAACCTCAGCCAAAAAAGGCAGTAATTTTAAGCCCCACCTTGGTACCATAGCCTCACTATCATAAAATGGGAAGCACTCTGAACCGTGCAAGGCCTTCTGGATAAAGGAACTCAGCCCAACAAAACAAATAGCCGCTACCCATCCGTGAGAGCAAAGCTGCTGAATGAGAGCCGCCAGGCAGGTTTCGCCATCAGAGAGGGGGCTGGCACAGGCTCCCGCAGGGGGGCCAGAGTGACCTCAGATCCCAGCCAACAGGCCGATTAATCCCCTCACAGCCAGCGCACACACCAGGAAGCTGGGGATTCCCCGTACGGAGGTGACTTCCTGAACAACGACCAATTAAAAGGGATTTATTTCTCCTTAAAATTTAAAGTCATTATCAAGAAGGATGGAGGCGCTGTGAGTAGGCCTGCAGAATAAAGGTCAAGTACGCAGCGTTTGACCAAAAAGTTTGGGGGGCAGGGATGACGATGGGTTGAGAAATGTCAGCACTCACTCCCCCACACCCCCCATGTGTCTCCATGCCAGCCTGCCCTCCAGGACTGGCACAGCATTACTTACAGTGCGGGGGGCAGGGGTCCTGGCACACGGGGTTTCAATAAGACACACATCTAGTCAACACCTCACACTTCTGGAACTTACTCAGACCAGAGAAATGAAAAAGGCGACGGCTGGGCCCACTTTTGAGGGGCTGTAACAGACACTGTGCCATGCATGTGTGCCTATTGCACCGATCGCCAAACCAGGGCTGCGATTTCTATTCAGTCTTTGCGCTGTGGCCATAATTACACACGTGACTGAGGCTGAGCTTGAGAAGCAGCACCCGCCTCAAGCTCCGGCTTTTTAATCAGGCAGTTCACAAACCAGCTGTGTTGTGCTCCATCCTGCCACATTCAAACCCTGTCCATTTCAAGGCTCCCAAGCTACTAATGTCTCCTGCGATATATTAAGAGGAATCATTAGGGCAGACTTCAGCCCATTTGCAAACCATTAATAGTTCATCTTGTTACTCAAACTGCTCAGAAAAGACTGGAAATAAAAGCAAAATGCCAGTAAAGCTCACTTTTAATGGCGATATTATATTGAAAGTGTTTCCTTACAGAAGTACAGCGTACTTTCAGACTTAGAGAAATGTAAAAGAAAAGGTTCACCCTGATCTAGCAGAGTGGGATTGAGCAGAGCTTGAAATCGGGCGGAAGCAGCGGCGAGATCAACCAGCAACGGCGGCAGGAACCGGCCAGAAGGAGGGCTGAGTTTCACTTTGGGGCCCGCGGGCTGCACACTAATTAATCTGAACCGCTTTTCAGCACGGCAGCACTGAGCGCTGGAGCAGCCGAGTAGCGAGGTCATGGCCATGGGGTGGGGGGGGGGGGCACTCACCGGGAGGCTCGAGGGTCGGCCCTGCATGGAGATTTCCTCTGTGCCGCTCTTACTGGAAGCCATGGGTGGGTTGGAAGGAGGGGCGCTAGACTGGGAGCTGAAGGAGTCCTGGGACAGCTCCTGGGGGGCAAGATGGAGTACAGATGTGAGACAGTGCTTCAGAGGGCGTCACTGACCCTCGGGGCAAACACACAATCAGCATCAGCAGCAGGAATGGAAACAAACACTCCAGATAACGTCAGCCAAGTTCATGTAGCAGAGATGAAGCCCTATTCTCTGTTTACTCTGCCTTTAACCGTGTTGCCACAGCTGTGTGATGAAGCCAAGCTTCACATTCATCTCCCTCCCATAAAACAGCAGATATACCTCCGATGACATCATACAATGCACCCTGATTTGTGCAGTTAACTTTCAATTCGGCCGCATTGTTAGTGTCTCCAAACAATGGCTGCAGCATCTGAAATGAAGGTAAGCTCATTCACCTTCTACCTCAGCAGTCACGCTCACTTTCAGAGCCAAATGTGACCCACCGCTGCCCAGAAAAGGCCTTCTTCAGCTAGCATCAAGCCAGCTACACATTACTGGTATTTTTAAAGTAGCTCTGGGAGATAAACTGGCTACTGTAGCTCCATAAACTAGCCTGTTAACTGCATACAAAGCAGAAACAGTTATCTACAAAACTGAAACAGTTCATCGTATTTGCACGTTCAGTGTTTTTTTCACCAAGCAGGTCAATAGTAGAGACAGTGAATTTGTGCCATTAAAATGGCAGCAGAATGCTAATTGAGTGTGTATGGTCCGGTCAGCACATAAAATGAAACATTTCCTAAGGACAGATTCGTAAGAAAATCCGTGAAGATATAGAAGACAATTGGGGGAAAATGACATAGACACATTCAAGATACCGTGTGGTCCTGTCTTGTATGACGGCCACACTGATCAGAACTCTGTATAATCACACCCAGACCTCCTCCTTAGAGATCTACAGATATTTAGAGAAAACATCTGTCAGGGCCGAGCAGCTGCACCTCCAGGGGACCCTGGTCCGTGTTAGCGGCTGAATTCATGCTTGGTACTGGGAACTGAGCCCCTGTATGGATGGCAGGGCGTGGCCAATGGGAGGTGGCGGTGAAACGGAGGGCTGTGCTGAAAATTACAACTTCATATGTTGCCTCGACAGCCCAAACTCAGCAGCCAGAACACCCAGCAAAGGATGAGTGCTTCCAGCCGAAATGAGGGAGCGGGAAGGGGAGGCGGGTTCGCTCGCGGACACTGCAGACTGCGCACATAAAACTGTGCTGTGTTAAAGGTTGTGACATGCACAGCGGTGTCAGGTGCAGGCAGCGTTTTGAGTGTCCAAGGGTCAAAGGTCAATCGCGCTCCAAGGCATGACGTCGTGCGCGCCAGTGCAGATTCACAGCACCTGTTGTCATCACCGAGCAGCCCAGCTGACCCACCCACCCACACATACCCCCCCAGGTGGCTGCCCTTGATTCTCCGTTTTTACTGCACTCGCCGACCACCCCCACCCTGATCACACCAACCGAGAAGCTGTTTCCAGTCTCCTCCTGGATGAACCCTTTCATTAGAATCACTCCAGATGAACAGCAGGAGGCAGTAGTGAGCGCAGCAGGGTTTTACCTGAGCAGGAGGGGGGAAGCGCTGGTAGGGTGACTGCTGCTGCTGCTGCTGCTGCTGCTGCTGAGGGGGGGTCTGTGAATACGGCATTGGCGGGGCCTGAGGCGACGGCCCGTGTCCTTGGGGCTGCTGGGACGGGGGCTGCTGCTGCTGCTGCTGAGGGGGGGTCTGTGAATACGGCATTGGCGGGGCCTGAGGCGACGGCCCGTGTCCTTGGGGCTGCTGGGACGGGGCCGCAGAGGTCGGAGGCGGTTGCTGCTGCTGCGTGGCTTGCGATTGCTGCTGCGGGGGCGTTTGCTGCTGCTGTGGGGGGGCTCCCTGGCTCTGGGGGTAGCCGGGCTGGCCCTGAGTGCCCTGTGGAGCCTGGCCACCAGGTTGCGTTGGCGGCTGAGCCGGGGCCACCTGCGGCTGGGGGTAGGGCGGCTGGCCGGGCGGCGGGTAGCTGGGCTGCTGGGAGTAGGCGGCCTGAGGGCCAGGCTGGCCCTGCGGTGGCGGCTGAGAGTACGAGGACTGTGGCTGGGCCTGCTGGCTGTAGTAGGCTCCCTGGCTGGGCTGGCCGTAGTTACCAGGGCCCTGCTGCCCGTAACCCATCTGAGAGAGACAGGGCAGCACAGCATTAGCGAGACATTGCCAAGTACACAGACACACACACACACA